ACTCAATGCGACTTTTAGCACCAAATCACCTAAATTAACTTTCTTGACGTGACTAAATTAGGTTAATTAGGGCGATCGACTCATATAACTATGATTGCTTATAACCAATAATATCTCATATTATGTAACCTGATAGCCTAGCTTCTCCACCGCAATCTAAGTAGCTTTTTATTAAGCATCCTACATTACAGTATGTTTTTGAGCCTCGTAGCCAACAAATGCGATCTGTCGGATCAGTCAAGATTGATGTCTTCATCTTCCAACTCCCCATCATGTACATGTCTGAAATTTGAAGAGATTTTTTTTAAAAGTTTTTCATATTTCTACCATAACAGTCACTTTATAGAAACCTAACAGTAATTTTACATTTTGCAACTCATGACTTGCACTTCATACGACTTTGAGAAATATCTTTTGGCTTCTTTTTAGAAAGTTGAGCACTTCATTCTCCCTTTTCAACGACGATAAAGGAAACTCTTCAAATCCAACAAAGTTTCTAAAGAAGTAATGAAGTACTTTTGATGCATAATAATAGAAAATTACAATAAACTCTTCATCCAGGTTCAGAAATAGTTCAAAAGAATTGTGCAAAGAATAAAAAAACAAATCAACTTCTTAAGCATAATGTAATTATAAAAGGAGATGCATGCTTCGGATTGGCCATCATGTATCCGTAAATGTTTTCATGATTTCTATGAGTACGCAAGAAATTGTCAAAAAATTACAAAATAACGTTACTATCATCCATTTTATATCCAATCAAATTTGAACTTATTTTCTCAATCCATGTTTACATGTAGAGTCTACATGTAAACACAATGAATGTCTGCATTGTAGTCACTCATTGTGCTTACCCTTAAACCTGAATAGGTGTTAGTAAAAATACACATTTGCATAGTGAAATGCTTACGCTATGGATTTGAGTCGTGGTATGATTGGGAGTAATTTGATGATGTTTAAATGTTCTCGTATTCATTTTATCAAGTAGTTGAAGCTCATAGATGACAGACAAGAAGTAAAAAAGAAAACCTATATCACAACTATAAAGAAATGATATACCTTACGTTCATTTGATGTCTATGATATTATGATAGGTGTTGTATTCATTTTAAAATCACAACTTGAAAGATGATTATAAAGAAGAGCAAAATTTGGTTCAAAAATTTTACTTTCAATAGAAAAACTAAAATCGCATAAATTACATGATCTTTGTCTAGCCTTGTGTTTTTTTTCAATATTCCTGAGCTGATCTATTTTGAGCTACAATTTGATAAAAATAAACCACACCGTCTTTTGAAATTCTTATTCAATTTATTGTCTCGTTTATAAAATGACTGTCAATACGTGTATATCTTCATAGTAGTCATGTGATATTCAATTCAAATTTCATCAAACTGAAAAAAATTGAAAAATATGTAATTTTTTTGATGTGACAATTATGCAATTTATTTCTCTGTTTTCTAAATGAAATCATGTTAAAAAAATATTTTTTTAGTAGAAATTAATTAGTTAATGTGTTGAACAAAAATTCTGTAAATATTTCATAATAGCAATGAATGACAACTCTTGATCTTCGTACACTGTGAAGTTGCCTTGTTTCATTAAAGAAAAATCTACAAAACTTCAAAGGGTGTGTAGACAGACAGACAACATTGGATAGACAAACATCTAAAATATATTATATATATTTATATATATATATATGTATATATATTGTATTCAAGTTCTTATTGATTAGTTACAACATTAAACCTAAAGAAAAATTGATAAACATCTCAAATGAATGCAGTTTATTTTATACATGTAGATTGTATTCAGTTTTTTAATGCGAGCTATCTAATATTGATTATTTTTCAAAGAATGAAAACTGACATGAAATATTGTGAAATTTATTTTTAATATTTAAAAATAAAGCTCTCAATATTAATTATTACAGATATTTTTTCTAATATTTTTTGTAATTTGTAGATATCCAATTTAATGTTAAGTATAAATAATAAGATGTGATGATTTCATAGTTTAACTTACTTTACCAAAAAAATCATGTATATGAAAATATCAAGTAGAGAATATTTCTGAGGTGAAAATTTTCTTTTATTCTTCATCTTTGGAATTTATTATACATATCTATGAATATAGTCCATTCATTTTCAGTATTACTTATAAAGTGTATGTGTCTTTTCACACAAATTAATACACATAAACACAAATCTACGTAATATCTTATATTACGTAGATTTTATATTCAACTTTTAATTTTGTAGATAAGATATTGCACAGATATAAATAGATGTTGTTCAAGAGTGAACATTCTTTTCAAAATCAAATACGGTGTTCAAATAATGGTAATATATTAAATAAATATTTTGTATAAAAAAATACATATATTTAGTAGTGTTATTCAAGATTGTGGAACAATATAATCAAATTTGAAGCAAAATTATGATTCATCATATGGACAATTGAATTTATTGCAAAATTAATATAAATTATAATATAAAAATATAGTTATTTCATAACTAATATATTTGAAATATTATTTGAATGTTTTCAAGATATTTAATTCAAAAGTGGTATATTTTTCATTCATCAGAAAATAATAGTCATATTTAATTGATTAAGAATACATATACAAATTTTGTGTATCAAAGTGTTTGTATATATTTGCATATAAATTTTTTAATTCTCCAAAGATTTCTATTAATCATTTGATATTTATTTCATGTTCTTCAATATTTTTTCTCGTATTTAACGTTCCATGTGTATTTCAAATCAAACATAATGAAACTTTGAATCAGATTTTTTGATATTTGTAATCAATTTTTTTTTTTTTGATACATTGCTTTTTTCTGTAGCATACAAGATTTAAAAGCTTTTTAATGTTACAATTTTGTTACAAAAATCATTCGTTGCCAATTCTCAAAATTAAAACTACGGCATCAACCTTCATCATAATTGCACTGAATAAAATCACTAATGAGACTTTTATATTGACATGAAAAGAAACATGCAAAACACTTCACTTTGTTAGACACAAAAAATTTTCTTATGTTTCAAATGTTTTATAAAAATACTTAGTTAAAATTCTTTTGTTCATTTAAAAGAGTATGTTATAAAATTTGTAATCATGATTTACGTTAAATTCTTTCTTCCAATTTGTATAAATATCAGTATTAATAATCTATTATAACCGATTTTCATTTCATTGATTTTTCTAAATAATTTAAATTTAATTTATTATTTCAGTTCTGATCATTATTTCAGTTTGATTATTGTTCATTAGACTATTTATGAATTGTAGTTTTTATAAAATATTTTTGTAGAGTTTGTCATATCTGTAAATGATGTAGTGATATCATATTTTAATATGATTTTCAAATTGATTTACTGAAAATAATAATATTTAATAAAATTTAATCAATTTCGTTAGTGAGGTCTGTGATAGGTGTATGCTAATAAATTTTATAATTTTTATTTCCAGTAGAGTTTCAATCAATATATATTTATACACAAATTTAATAATACATCACATTACTTCCAATTTCGATTGTTCAACTTTTTTCAATAATTATTTCATTTTCAAATAGTATGAAGTAATCTTATAAAATATTAGACTTTATTTGATATGTAAATTCTGTTTGAAAAATATCTGAAATAGTCCTAAAATATCATCTCGCAGCTTTTATAAAATGGTTTTGAAAATAAGTTTATTTTGACATTCTGCCTTGTTATAAATAAACCCTATTTATGAATCGATAAACATAACAATTTGTAATTTCGAATAGATGTATAGTTCATTATGAAGCTTTAGACTTTATCATCTTGTCGAGATATGTACATTTTTTTCAATATAAATGTACGAATAAATTTATGGTAGAATTTTAAAACATAGATGTAATTGGAGAGCCTATTATATTTTTTCTCAATAGTTTTTTTAACATATCTCTTGGATTCACAGTCAAGGATAAATACTTATCTAGGTAATTCTGGAATGTCCTGCTCGTTACATGATTATTTCACATGGAAGTGAAAATAGTCACTCTTTCCTGTAAACTAAATCTTAAGTGTGACCTTAGTTTTCAATTTTGTCCTCACACAACGTCATAACGAGAATTCACATGGCCATTAAATATGGCCAATTTCCCAATGAACCATTTACCAACGTCCGAAAGCCCTATATCCACAATCTAAGTTTAATAAACGAGATTTATCAAGAGGCTTAAAATTGAGGTGAAAGTTGTAACTTGTGATGTTAATTTTTATTTTTTTGGGGTCCTATCTCTGCCTCAGAACTGTCAGTGCGTAGTAGCTTGTAGAGATGGACGGGGACTTACTTCAGCCAAAGAAATATGTCGTAGCGAATAAAATGTACATCCTGTTAACATTGCGCTTCTTTCTTACTCATGCAATATTTCTGTGGACGTAACAAGAATCACGTACAATGATCCACGTTGCATGGCATGCGATGATCACGCCATGCAGTTTGCAGTTTCGAACTTACTCCCGTGGTACGAATGTAACCGATACTGTACTGGAACGTGGCTCAGATCTTACTGCACCTCCACCTTAATCAAACCTAACAGACACCTTCTCGTGATCATTGCTAAACGGAGGACGATGGCCTGCAATGATTGAGATTTCAAACTCTGACGACGGCCTCAAAATTACATTAGGAGAATCATATGCAGCCCTCGCTAGCCCCACGGGTGCAAATTTTTGAGACTGGGATCGAAGTGTCTGTGAAGTTTGACAATGTTAGACTTGAAAATGAGCTCGAAATTAATGTTTAACTCAGACCAAGCAGGTCGTGTCATACGAGTTCGGTTACATCGTTGTGCTCGACGTCATCGGTTAGAGACGATATAACTTTGCGGTGGAACATTCAGACGGATTACTTTTGTGGGTTGTAGATCGAGAGGATTCTTTCGGAACAAACGTTTTGCGGAGAGAAACAGTTGTAGCAAGATCTCACAAGCTTCGGGTTTCCTCTGTCCATCTTCGCGGTGTTTTTGTGGAAAATAAGTATGGAGCGCTTGTCGGCCACCGTAGAGCAGGATGTATCTAGCGCAGGATATCGTTGCATTCATGGAAACTGAACCGAAGTGTATCTATTTCATTGAAATTCGGAGAAGGGATCTCATCCGGCGTCGCTGTCTTGCATCGCATCTGCCTCGAGTCGGCTGAAATCTTCCAAACTCACCACAAATCTATCTCCACAATTCTCCAAAGACATGCACTTTCCCTCGTATTCCCTACACACGACTCAAATCTTCACCGCCAAACATAACCCTTGTCGACATTCCTCATATTCATCATCCCGATTCTATCCAGTCCAATTTCTCCTCTCACGCAGCACGAAAAAATGCGCCCAGAAGGCCTGCACAGCCAGATTTTTGCCCACCGCTTGCAAGATCTGCACTCGAAACTCATCGAAGTAACCAACTCGGGATCGGGATCGATCAATTATCGATAGACTGACTCACTCACAGACAGAGAGAGAGAGAGAGAGAGAGAGAGAGAGAGAGAGAGAGAGGCAGCAGAAGAGGCGGCACATTCAACCATGACGTCAAGACAGACACCGCCCAGGAATTCTGCACAGCAAGATCTTCGCCCACTGCTGAAAAGATCTCCGTAGAAACTCATCATCGAAGGAACGAATCGATCGACCATTCTGCAGACGACTGTGACCTCTGAACCGAGCGATTCACATTTTCGAAAGCATGGCGTCGAGAGAGGGATCGCCTGCTCGGTCGGCATCACCCGCGAGGTCGGGATCGCCTGCCCGATCGGGGTCACCGCGGGCAGCAGGGTCGCCGACGGGGTCGGCGTCGGGGTCGCCGCACTACATGCAGCACATCCAGTCGAAGGCGACGTCGACGGTGCCGCCACCGAGGTCGCGGTCGCAGTCGCCGAGGTCGAGGTCGCCGCCGCGGTCGAAGTCGCCGAGCAAGCCCGAGGTGGTGAAGGCGGTGCGCCTGCCGCAGTTCGTGCGGCTGAAGTCGCAGGCGCTGTGCCGGTACCTGATGGTGCACCCGGACCGGCGCGGCACGCCGGGCAAGCTCGTCTTCAGCGGCAAGCAGGACAAAACGAACCCGTTGTACATGTTCGAGACGGTGCACGTGCCGGGCATGGCGCAGGCGTGCAAGGTCAAAAGCATGGCCACGGGCAAGTTCTGGAAGCGCGTGCCGCTGACCAAAGTGCCCGAGTGCAAGAGCGCCATCGCCGACGGCGGCTTCTTCAGCGTCATTCTGGCCAAGGGCGAGTCCGAGTTCGACGCCGACGTCTTCACCTACAAGAAGCAGACGCACGAGATCGGCGGCCTCGAGTCCAAGCTCGTGTCGCTCTGGAGCCAGGACGACCATAAGTTCGTCGCGCCCTTCTGCGTCATCAAGGACGAGAAGACGGGCGATGTGCGCTACTTCCTCGGCTGCAAGCCGGCCGAGGAGAAGTACAACAACACCTATTACTTCCACGCCATCTACCACCAGCACTGGCACGTCAAGCCCGACCCCGTCGTCAGCTTGGGCAAGTATGGATTCGGATTCTGATTTGGTTCGAACGGTTACCATCTGAAAACTGGGAATATCGATTCATCGTGATTTGGCTGCTGCGCATCTTGCAAGCCTTGTTCCTCTCAGCGCACCATGACGATTCAGATTCAGCTTCTTCTCCTGTGTAATTTCTTCATCATTCCCGAGAGCCTCGACTCCGAGGAGAGGAGAATGGACTTGTCTGATTTTGTAAACTCCCTAACAAACTACCACACATTCATTCAATTCGCTGAAAACACTTCTTGCTGCTTTTTTCACCGTCGATTGCGAGCCTTGCTGTACTTGAGAAGAGTTGTTCAACAGTGAGATGTTTCCAGCCTATGGGAACCTGTGCAAGGAAGGGCTCAGATACTTTGGCTCTGACTCATCGACAGGTGAAATCAGATGGGATTCACTGCCGGAAAGAGTTCACACCTTGAATGGCGTTCACCATTTTTACTTAATCTCGTTTCTATGCAAATTCCCAAGCTTCATGTGTATTTGCATGATCTCATTCAGAAACACATGACGAATGAAATTCTGTGACTCACTTGGAGTCAGTACGAGCTGTGGTGCAGCTATTGTTGTGTTTTCTGTGCACGGCTACTACAACTACTTGTGAGTATCAAGAGATGGTTGTGTCTCACGGTATGCTTGGGTTTTCCGTGTCTGCACCCCGCGTTGACTTCAAAAAGGTCCCGTTCATGCTGTGTTTCGGTCTGTTATGAGGTTGATACGAGTGATTGAGTAACAATATATCGTGATTTAACGTAAATTATTTCAAATAAAAACGAAAACTAGTCAGGGTTACGTGACTCTGTGATATGTGAGGATATTTGACTGACGCAGAGTAGTCTGAAACTAAATCGGGTTCAAACATCTAAGCTCCCATTCCTGAGCTCAAAACAAGTTAGATACTGGTCTGCAGACTTCACGGTGTCATGCGACACCATTGGGTGATTTGGCTGTCGACTGATTTTCGCGCTGAGATGTGTAAGAGCTCAGGGTCGTCCTGGTGTAGTCTAACAAACGAATTACTTCCGAGACCTTACGTCTAAACGACTTGATGGTTGCCTGGAAATTAGCATCTTCGCTTTGTCTAGATATGAGGAGGTAGGCAAATGACACTCGAGCTTGTGGATGTGCCGATGTTATCAGAATTTGATCAAGATCTGCCTTAGAATGCATTATTCCAAGTAACGCAGAACGGTGAAGGAATCAGTACTGCGAATTTTACGATTCCCCAAGATAGGAGCTCTCTAAACTAAAAATAACATGACATAAACAAGGATGAAGAGATGATCGAGGAGGACAAGGGCATCATCTCAATACGAGTACTTTAAAGTAGGCTAACTGGACTTGCATAGGTTAGAAACATAATGTACTTTTGCTGATACGCTTCCACACTGTATTATCATGGCTTCTCACTGAACATAACTCAGTTTGATTATTTCCTCTTCCACGGTCTTACTTTGTCTTCTGTTTGTTTCTCTCTACAACCTACACCTTTTATGTCAGACTTTCCCCTTTTTACATCCTTCTGTGATTTCGACAGTTTTGAATGGTTGAAGTTGAACATTATTTGTACCTGATGACTGAAGAGATGAAGTTCATAAAACATCGAACGATTTGCTACTCTCTCATATATATAATTTTCACACTAAGGTCTCAAATCTGCGAGCTTAATGTTGAAATAATCTTTCTGTTTGGCTATGAGACAGTTTTTCACCGCTCATGGTTTTCAAGTCCGGATTTAAGGCCACATAGCACGTCGTTGCTGTACCCATGGAACAAGGGAATGAAATATCGGCACTCAGTGCAGGAAAAAGATAGCTCTAAACAAAAATAGAATGCCAAGAGGCGTGATGCACCCCAAGAAACATGACCAGATTATGCGCATGAGAAGCTCCAGAAACAAGGGAGAGAGAGTAGAATTGCTAACAATGTTTTTGGCTTTTCTTGTTGCGTGTAACATGTGAGTCAACTGTAAAGTAGAAGTTATCGGTTCCTCAGAATTCAGGACCTATGAGTTTACTGCTTCTACTATTATTACTATTGTCTCTATAATCATGCTATGGGTCGAAGCTATAAGAAAATCAAAATGACTAACTTTCATCATCTGCGGCTAAAGCCACTGCTAGCCTTCAACATGTATTATCTTCTCAAGTGGATCAACAGTCTTGGAAGATTACTCTTCCAAGACTCTGTTGATCCACTTCCATGGGAAGCTCATATAATTCCAAATGACTTCCAATAATATGCAATATAAAAGCCTTATCAAGCCCTCTCATTGCTCTATATACTATACACGAGACTAAAAAGAGTACAAATTATGTCACACGGTTCGTTTGTGTAGGTCACATGATCCAATATCTGAACCTAACCAAGTTATCAACGACATCTCGCATCTTACCTATTCCACCAGTGCACCGTAGCCATTTTGTCATGTATCCATGCAAGCCAAAATCTACCTTTTGCTGCCTGAATCCTCAATGAGATTCGTGAGGTCTTTAGGAAAGCTGGTCCGAGCTGCGAGAGAAGGAAGAAGTTGTAGGAGTCTGCATTCTCGTACTTAGATTGTGGCAGAATTTGAGCACTTGGAAAAAAGCTCTTGGAAAACCTTAGGAGATTCTTGGGGAGCTTTTTTGGGGGAAACAAAGCCAGTATATAAGTGTAGTTTTTTCTATGTAATGCCACTAATTGAATGTTTTTTCTTCCCACAATATAATGTAAAAGATGTCCATGTTGACGATTAATTTGTGAGGGTAAAATCTGCCCACTCTTTCTATGTTAATAGGGAATGTGCACTGGTGACACGTCCGTGCAATACTGCTCAAAAGATTTCATCAATGAAGTATTTCAACCTGGAGGCGTTCGAGGTAGATAATTTTCAGAACAATGTACATGAGGATGTTCTTGGGGATTTCTCTTTTCAAGCGGTAATTGGCTTGAAACTTGGCACCTAGAGTGTTCTTCAATATCGGATCCCTGGTTGCTATACAGACAGCAGATTGCGACCTGCCAGGACAACCTTTCGTGGTCTACGAAAGGTTGCTCCAGCCCTCCAAAACCTCCTACGAATTATCATTCAAGGACATTAAGTTTCATGACTTTGAAGAATGTTTCTTCTCCTTCTTCACGTTGCAAAGAATCCACAATCTGCAGCAGTCTCAGCTTCTGACGAACTTTAGATGTTGTCAAAAGAGTCCATAAACTCACGTGCCAAAATTCTTTCTGGACCACGTAATAGACACAGTCAGAATTTGAAGAGCCGGAGTATGCCGGCTCTTCATGATCTGACTCTCACAATTGCGCGTGTCCATTCGGCTCAAATCGTGCCCGTCACATATACACGACGTACAAGCATGCCACAGTATACTGGACGAAATCTACTACCTCTCAGATGCCAGGCAATGTGTCGTCAAGCTGCCTCCTCCTCCGCGTGCAAAGAGTGTGAATCGTCAGGCAACTGCATCGGCGATCACCTCCGAGTTCTCTAATATATAGACTTGCAACATTAGCTCTCCGAATTCCAAACCCTTAAAAGCAGCTAAGAACATATTTGATCTGCGGTTCATGAGTTCTGAAAGTCCTTCGAGGTCAATTTCTGGGATCAGTCTTCTTCGGAATTCGAAACTTTCTCATGGTGAGAATAAATGATTAGAACGATTTCTCCGGTGCGTGGAAATTCAGACTGCATTTCTTCAATTTGGTGACCGACCAGTGACTTTGGCAAAGAGTGCGTCTGGAATGATGCCATCAGTAGCCTCAGCAGCACTGGTAGGCCATCCGAATCCATTTCCTCCTTGACCCTAGAAGCATCTCATGATGGCTCAGCACGAAGAAGCTCTCCAACTCACAGTTCGTACACCTTGAAGTTCGTTCCATGGAAGAAAAGGAGCAATGGAGGAGTAGCTACCTGAGCAATATCTGGACACGAGAAATCTTACTTGTCTGCAGGAAAAATCAACCCATCTCGTCCAAACGAGGCTTGGTGTTGCAACCTCTCAACAGCGAGCACAATACGAAGATCAGTACAATCCGGAAGCCCATATAGTTGGCCAAGCAATATTGGACTACTTGCACCACTTCGCGTCAAATTATAAACATGTCTTACTAGCTCGCCATATCCAAGGAACAAAATACAGTCTGAGGTCAAAGAGCAGCAAGGTCTGACTGGAGTCTATTGACATGTTCGACTTCACCACGCGTGCCTGGACGCAATCGTCTCTACTTCAAAGATCAACAAGCTCCATTTATTGTCTCCCTTGAGCTGGTATTTGCCCGTCTCGGAGTTGGAGATGCAAAGGTTTGTGGAGTCCCGGTCTACAGCAGAGTGAAGCTGTGAAAGCAGCTCTAATGCACCAGTTTTGGGCGAGTTTCTAGCTCAGTACTGTATATTCAGTCCACGGTTTGTCTGCTCAGAAACGAAGAATTATATTTGTTATTTCAGAGACTATACCCGTTCATGACACGTCCACCACGTAGCCAGGGCCACCGTGGAGGTTACAATTTCAGTCTGTGCAGTTTGATCAGGAAGAGACTGTGCAGTTATCAGTTCTTAGAGTTCTGCCAGCTTATCAAGCGACACCGTTGGTTACAGTTTGTGTCGTTCAATCAAGAAATCAAGGTGTCATGCCGAGCAGAGAGAAGTGAGATTGCCACAGCATCACATGTGGACCACCGAGTATGACTGCAGTGATCAATCCATGTGAGATCTATGGTTTTTGTTAAGAATGACAACGGGAGACTAGGTGAAAAGAAAATGTTTCAAATTTTATTCTTGTTTGCATTAAAGACTATAGTTCGTTTGTCTTGGTTTGTTCTTTTTAGAAATTTTGTCAAATACATCCGTACTCGCGTCGGTTTTCATGAATGAGATGCCATGATAGGATATGCATGTAAACCTTTCATAAGTTTCAGTGGGATATGGAAAATCCTTCATCTTGGATCAAATTCCATATGTCCATTGGTAGTTGCTATTTTAATTTGTTTAGTTAGCACCTCATAAATTCAGTAAATGCCAAAATTAATCCAACAAATTAGCCAACGAACTTTTCTCATTAATTCTGAAATTTTTAGCATGAACACTTTCATTTCATTTCATTTCAATTGTTTATTCTAAAAGTGGGATTTTATGAACGTTTAGAATTAATTCGTTTCCAATATAAATGTCAGGGCAAAAATCAGTGAATAATAAAACACAAAAGTGAGTAACAGTAAAAGAATCCACAAAAAAATGTAACATGATTCATCACATAGGGCTAAGTCTACCGTTGAAAGTTCACACACGTGAGAGTGTACTAAAAAGTTTTATGATAATACTCAAACTTTCGGGGTTAAATATTCCAGCACCGAATAACCTCCTAGCTAATATAGCTGTGACTTGATGTTACTATTTAACCGAAGTGAACCTCAACATAAGAACTCCATGTGGCATAG